TTTCTCACTCAACATCTCATATAGATTATAAATCTTCTCCTCCGTGTGGCTCCCTATGTCTCCATCGGCCGCATGATCGACCATATATTGAAGGGTTTGGTGGAGACCATCGTAGAAGAATTGGTTGAGCACACTGAGGCAAAAGTGGTGATGTGAGCATTGGAGTTGATAGCCCTTGAATCTCTTCCACGTCTCGTGAAAAGTTTCGCCTATGTTTTGGCTAAAGCTAGCCATTTGGGTTCGGAGGTCGGTAGTCTTTTGGTGCGAATAGTACTTGCCCATGAACTTCTCGTACACGGCTTCCCACATGTTGAGCGAATTTGGGAGAAATGCCATGAACCAAGTTTTTGCTTGATCTTTCAAAGTATATGGAAAGCACCTCATTCGATGTTGGTTCTCGGTTAGGCCTTGGAGGGGGAATGTGTTGACGGTGGAGTAGAAATCTCGGATAAAGTTGAGGGCATATTCTTGGGCGAGGCCATAAAATGATCGGAGTTGGTTTAGGTGGATGGTCTTGAGATCATAGTTTCGGGCCGCCTCTCCGAGCACGAGGCACGAGGTGTTGTCTCCAATGATAGGCCGTGCAAAATACCTCATGCTCGGGGGCGGTTGTGGAAGTTGCTCTCCTTGGTTCGCCATTGATTTGGATTTCGGTTGAGGTTCGTCTATGTTGAGTTCAACGAAGAGGTCGATTGATGGAGTCTCCTCTCGGGGTTTACGCCCTCGTCTACCTCGCATAAACAAAAACAACAACTATACCCGGTGAACTTACCAATGGGAAGCAAGATCAAAACCAACAAGCAAAAACAAAAATTACCTAGAAAATCAAGAGAAATAGAGAGAATTACGGAAATTAAGCAAAAATCACAAAAATCGAGAGAAACACGAGAAAAAGAGACAATCAAATAGCAAACAAGGCGTCCTACTTGTCTTCCCCGGCAACGGCGCCATTTGTTTAGTAGAGATTTGGTGGGCAAAGGATAACCGAGTTACCCGACTCGGGTCGATCTCGAGGGAAGGCTATTCGGATCTTCACTTACTACTTGATTGTCCAAATCACAAAAAGAGAAAATAAAGTCCTAAACATTCTAAGCAATTGATTGGAGGGTTGATTATCGCTAAATGAGCACTTGAAAACGAGCAATTAACTAAAAGCAAAATCAAATCACGAGCAAGTAGCAAACTAGATCACCGGAGTCTCATGCCATAATCATAACAGGATGATAATCAATCGACATAAGGAATAAACGAGCTATGAGCATTAGATTGCTAACCCTAGTCGTCTATCCCTAAGTGATTAAGCCCTAATCGGGTCTTAATCCTTAAACGAGATCAACAAGCAATTAACTACTCTATCTACTCAAGCAAGCAATCAGGTACAAGCATTTCCTCCATCATCAATCAAATCCAAATTTACCCTAATAAACATTATAAGTAAAAACGGAGCAAAAATCGAAGTAACGAGCTGTAAAACTAAATACTCATCCTTCCATTGCGTAGACGATGAAAAACGGAGTCAAAAGCTCGAAACTTGAAAGAAGTCGCCAGAAAATCTCCCGGAAAATAGCATAAGCTCCTAATCTAGAGAACAAAAATAAAACATAATCTAATTTCCCAAAAAGGAAAAGTGAAAAATGAGAGTTGGATTCTCAAAATGCAAAGGAACAAAAATATATAGTCCCACTCAAAACACACACTAAAACATGCACACTTAATGAGACACTCTCGACGTAGCCATGAAATCCGCGAGCTCGCAGGTGGGGCGCAGCACTCTCGACGGCGCGGGCCGATTCACGTGGTCGCGGGCATGCAGGCGGTGCGGTGGCGCACGGGCGTGCATGGGCGTTGGCATGAGGAAATTGCACTCTCGACATCGCGACTTGTTCCGCGCGCACGGACGACGACCGAGGGGCACTCGCGAGGTGGCGGATCTTCTAGCGTGATCGAGAGTGTGGGCGCTGCGATGCTCTCGACGTCGAGGCAAATTCCGCGAGCGCGCGGCGTGCTGCGTTGACAGGCACGGGTGTTAGCAGGTGCGCGGGCGTGCGGTATGATGGGGCGTGGCGGACTCTCGAGCTCGCGAGAGCTACCGCGAGCACGCGAATGGAAAGGCTGGCTTGGTGCTGTGAGCGTGTGGACGTTGTGCGTCCGCGGGGTCGCGGATCTCGGCGCGGGCACGCGAGTGTAGATTTCCGGGGCATGGGTGTGCGCAGGCACGCACAGTCGCAGGGCACGGCTCACTTGGGCGTGGCTAGGACTCGACATACTCGACTGGAAATGGTTCGCACGAATGGCTCGAAACTTCTCGAAATTCTCGGGCTTCGCTCGACTCTCCTCATTCATCCTCCGAATAATCTGAAATTTAAACCCAAAAACACGGAAAAGTACGCCAAAATATAAAATGAAACGAAAAACACAAAAACACACGGAAAACGATAAAATGGACCGGTCGACACTAAAACAAACCTAAAACCGACTCAATAACACACATAAACACATAAAAATGAGCACAAAAACATAACAAACAACAGGTGATAAAGTGTTGATTCCAAGAATGACTATAACTCCTTATGATGTTAGAATTCCTTTCAAGTTCCAGCGTTGGTAGTTTCTATTATAGTTTATTATGCCATGACTATAAATAAGAGCAGGGACAATCATTTGTATGTAGGTTTATTTCTTAAGAAATCATTGTATTGTCATGGTTAGTTGTATGTTGTTGTCTCCCGTGTCACAAACAGATATGGTTTGAAAATCCTAATTTGTGATGATCATGACGTGCCAAAGAATCATACCATGTACGTTGTATAGAATGTATGTTCAATAATATATAGATTTTATTTTCATTGTATTTGTTAATTTTTAAATTATTAATGACCTGATCTTTTCTTTAGTAAACATTGAATTTTAACTGAAAATTATTTTTTAAAAGAGACGGAGATAATAAACCTCATGCATCGCACAGGTACTGTACTAGTTTATTTATAATCATTTATTGATTCTAAGTAATTAATTTATATAAAAAAATATATATGATGAAATGTTGAATGTATATACAATTTCATAATATATAGAATTCTGTGTGTTTTTCTCATAAGTTAGTAAGAACAAAAAAATGAAACTTTAGATAGGGATACGGTTGTAATATATTGTTAACTTATTAAGAAAACAATTGTCTATACATATTGCTAATAATCTAATGGCTAATGACCATGTTAGAATGAATGACTCATTCTATACTAGAAAGAATCGCACTATTATTTTTGTACTTCGCGCTCCATTCTTTTTAAATCCGATTTAAGACACAAATTTCGTATAAAGGCTTTGACTAATTGACCAACTGAATTATAGTTGGTCAATTATTTTTTATTTATCAACTATTAAATATAAATATTATTTGATAATTAGTAATTTTTTATTTTACAAAGAAACATCAATTATTATGGAGTGTTTTATTTTTCATTGATAATTGTAACTATTAATTTAATATATCTATCCATATATAATGGATTAATTTAATAGATTCGTTTAATCTTGGTCATAGGTTTTTAATTGTTCAAACTTATTGTAGAAAATGAAACAAAAAATAAAAATACTATAACCATGCTTTTATTTATTTATTATGAATGACACTGGAGATACTTTTAAAATATTTCATATCCAATTTCATTATCATTAGATATAATTTGTATGTACAAAATTTACAAAAAGTTTCTACAACCATGATTTTATTTATTGATTATGAAGAATGAAAGAATGTTTTTGTGTTATTTAATGTGGATATTTTTAAAATATTTCATATCTAATTTCACTATCAAATAATTTATAACATTAAGACGTTTAAAAAATATCGAAACTTACATGTTGGAATTTAAAAAAAAAAAAAAAAAAAAAAAAATAAAAAAAAAATGAAGATGTAGATGTTGGAATTTTAATTGTGCAAATTTTTGGATATCATGACTGTGAATAAAAAGGCCTAATATTTTTTTTTCATAAATTATCAAATAAATTAATTTTTTTCCAAGTTAATTAGTATTTTCATATTTACATTTATAATAATAAAATATTTAAATATGAATTCTAGCGATGATAATGTTTATAAATTAATTGGAGATGTGTTTGGAATGGTAGATAAATTTGATGGACTTATAAAATAAACTATTATACTGTAGTTGAAATTGTATTTGAGTATATGAATGACAAGTAGTAATAAATTTAATATAATATACTTTGAAATAGTATTTTGAGTATATAAATGAAACGTGCAATTTTAGTGAAACATGTATAGGTGAAAAACAATAATCTCATAATAAAGATGTACAAAGTGTTCCTTAAAAAATTGGTGACAGAGCAATAATTAAAACCTTCGCTCTTTTTTTCAATTAATGTGAAATAGTTTCATTATATATTAATAAAGTGTAATTAATATTTAAACTAATTAATTATGTAATAATTACTACTAATATTTACTAATTATAAATTTAGATTAAGTAGTATGTAAAAGTTACATACTTATAAAAAATTGTATTGCAATTTTTTTTCTTTACAATACTTACTCTACAACAAAAATTATATTTAGTCTTATTAAGCTATTTTTCTCTAATATTAGTTAATTTAAATGTGTGTCATAATTAAGCTCCTTAAGATTACATAAGTAATTACTATAACAATAATAAAAATAATTGTAATATTTTTCTTATTAATTAATTGTATGGTCCATTGAATTTACAAAATCATATTGTTCATTATAATTTATGTCTTCAACAAAAAGATTCACACGCAAGTTAAATAATTTATGTGTTTGTGTATGTACTAATATAGTGTCATCATAACAATAAGCTTAGACAATGCAATGCAAATAAGACCACCCGTCTCTGCCTCGCCGCCGCCACCACCAGAAGGCCACCGCCTTGTCTCTCATACTCTCTGGGTCGCCTCAAGTCCCACTTTCAAGTTTCAACCAGAGAGACAGGGAAAGAACTAGAGATAAATCCGACTAAATGGGCTGCACGGCATCCAAGCTAGACAACGAGGACACTGTCCGACGGTGCAGGGAGCGGCGCCGCCTCACCAAGGAGGCCGTCCTCGCCCGCCACCACCTCGCCGCCGCCCACTCCGACTACTGCCGCTCCCTCCGCCTCACCGCCTCCGCCCTCGTCTCATTCGCCGCCGGCGAGCCCCTTCCCATCTCCGACAACACCCCCGCCGTCCTCCTCCGCACAAACCCCAAACCACCGACCTCCATCCCACCCCCTTCACCCTCCGTCCACCCTCCTCCCTCCCCCACTTCCACCGACTTCTCCCACCACATAAAACCGCCGCCGTCGCCGCCGCGGTGGAGAAAGCCCGTTAAACTTCCCCACATACTATCAGACTCGAGTTTGTCCTCTTCACCACCGGCCAACCATGATTTCACTTACACCGCCAGACCTAATTCAACCTATTCGACCACATTTTCGGATTCCGAAACCTCCTCTGTGTGGGATTGGGATAATTTCCAACCTCCGCCGTCACCTCCAGGTTCCGACTACTTCCACAAACTCCAAAACAACTACGAACACAACAACAACGAGAGAGCTTCAAAGCGCACGCCGCCGTTCGCCGGAAACCGCGGCCAAGCTCCCGAACACACCAGTCCTTCGAAGCTACTCGACGATCGGGCATCCAATTACTCATCGTTTTCTCATTATTCAGATAAAAGCAGCAACACGTACTCGAAAAAGCACACGAAACAAAAATCCGAAAAGTTGGGTCAAAATCGGCGAAGCTGGGAAGGTGAAGAGGGCGGGACAGAGAGAGAGGAGGTAGAGTGCAGCGAGTGGGGAGATAATGAAAATGACCATTACAGAAGCACGAGCTGCTCGAGTGACGGTGAAGATGAAACAGGGGATTCTGAACCAGTTGAGGAATTTCGAAATTTGGCGGAAAATGGAGCTGCTGCTGCTAGTTCGAAAGCGAATTCAAAATTCTCGAGCAAATCCGAGAAGCTCTCGTCTGAAAAAGAAGAAGAAGAAGAAGTTGGTGATGGAAAATCGTCTGGTGATGGGAAAATTGCGGTGAAGCACAGAAATTTGACAGAGATTGCTGAGGCTATTGGAGAGTATTTCGATGAGGCTGCGTCCGCTGGTGAGAAGGTCTCCGAGATGCTTGAAGCGGGCCGGGCTCAGCTCGATCGGAGCTTCAAGCAGTTAAGAAGTAAGTCCTCTTGTTTGTTCTGTTCATGATGTTGAAGTTGTGTATCTCTCTTTGTTTTTTAGAAAACTGCATGATGCATGTGAATGCTGATAGGAACTGATTATGAATGTTGCTCCTCGGGTTAAGCATAATTACTGACACGACCCTAATACGTTTTATATTACGCGATGTCGCATGTTATTTTGGCATATAACTTAGCTGTAGAGAGTGTTTGAGTTTCGAGCAGTTTCCCTGCAAATTTAAATTTTTTTGAAAGTAAGTTGATTTTGGTGGTTAACAGAGACGGTCTATCATTCAAGTGGAATGTTTAGTAACTTGAGCGCTAGCTGGACCTCAAAGCCTCCATTGGCTGTTAAATACCAATTGGATCCGGGTTCTATCGAACAATCTGGCGGGCCCAAGAGCCTTTGTTCGACTTTGGACTGTCTCTTGGCTTGGGAAAAGAAACTATATCAAGAAGTGAAGGTACTGATATATTTGCAGTTATTTCTTTTTTGTTTTCTTCCAGTTCTTGCAGCTGACTAATATACTTTATATTTATTTATCTTCTCCAAATATGTGACAATTATGATTCTTGTTTGTTATTGAATTTGTAAAATGGTATGCTTATTATCATGAATAGCAAGAGCATGAAGAATGTTAGCGAAAACGAGTGTCGACCAAAGTATTGGTATCTTTAACTATGATGAACATTAAACTTGCTTGAGAACTAATCGTTGCTCAATTTTAAGATGGCTTCTGCTTCAGTATTCTCCCAAAGTTACTTAATCAATAGTAGCTGTTTGTTGTCACTTGTAACAATTTATAGGCTAGAGAAGGAGCTAAAATCGAGCATGAGAAAAAGTTGTCTGTTCTTCAGAGTCAAGATTATCGTGGGGAAGATGGTGCCAAGTTTGACAAGACAAAGGCATCAATAAAGAGGCTACAATCCTTAATTATGGTCACTTCTCAAGCGGTTTCAACTACCTCATTCGCTATCATCGGCCTACGAGACTCCGACCTCGTCCCTCAGCTTGTCCAGCTTTGTCGTGGGTAATTGTCAAATTCACTGCTTAAACTACCCAAAATTATCTTTTAAATAATTCTACATTCAAATGAACCAAAAAAAANAAAAAAAAAAAAAAAAAAATTGCAGTTGCATGTGCATGTGGAGATCAATGAACAGGTCCCATGAAATCCAGCACAACATAGTCCAGCAAGTCCGTGGCCTCACGAACCGAACGTCAATAGACGAATCAACCTCTGAGCCCCATCGCCAGGCGACCCGTGAGCTCGAGTCGGCCGTTGCCACCTGGCACTCAAGCTTCCTCCGTCTGATGAGATCCCAACGCGAATTCATACGCTCCCTAAACGCCTGGCTCAAGCTCGTCCTTCTCCCTCTCAACAATGACGACCCCCAAAATAACGACACTAAAGAATATTCCGGAACTTTTGCATTTCTTGAAGAGTGGAAACTCGCCCTCGAGCGAATCCCTGACCCAGTCGCGTCTGAAGCCATTCAGAGCCTCAACAATGTAATCCACTCGATCTCTTTAAAACAGACGGAGGAGATCAAATCAAGAAAACGGGTGGAGATTGTGAGAAAGGAGCTTGAGAAGAAGGCTTTGGCTATTTCGGACATCGAGAAGAAATACTACAGTTCGTACTCTACAGTCGGGATAGGGAGTCGGGACAAGGGGCCGGTTCTGGACGTGCAGGACCCGCTGGCAGAGAAAAAGGCTGAGCTGGAGGTCTTTCGGAGGCGGGTGGAGGACGAGACAGTTAGCCACTCGAAAGCAGTGGAGGTGACTCGGGCCATGACGTTGAGTAATATGCAGACGGGTTTGCCTAGCGTGTTTCAAGCCATGACCGGCTTCTCTGCTTCCATGGCGGAGGCTCTCGAGGCGGTTTGCAGAAAATCATATTCGATTTAGTCGATGAATGTGTGTGAACAGAGTTTTATATTTCTTCATTTGGGGTGGTGATTTGAAGTTAGACATGTAGAGAGGCAGGAGATTACTTCTTGTTATTTTTCTTTATTTATTTCATGGTGTAGCTCAGTTTTGAGTTTGTCTGTTAATATGATTTTCCTGGAGCAACTATTTGCAGCTAGCCTACATAGCACCATTTTCAGTGTATAGAATATTTCGTTGGTGATATTCACTCTTTTTTTAGTCTCTTTCCTATTTTCTTGAATGATGTGAGTTACATTTACCTTAGAATATCACTTGTGAGTTGTCCTACATTATTTATATAAGAAAAAATATAATTTATAAGTCTATTAGGTTACTTCTCCTTCCACCAATTAGTTTTGAGATGGAACTTCACTTTAGCATTCATCTGGACTTTTTTTCGCTTATAGCGCGCTTCACGTGCGTGGGACCCTAGTTTCTTACAATTTAGACTAACCTTAATGAATATTCATGTTCCCAAATTCATTATTTTTATTCGAGAGAGAGAGAGAGA